CTCTCTATCTATATCTCCTCCCCCCCTTCTCTCTCTCTCTCTCTCTCTCTCTCTCTCTCTCTCTCTCTCCTCTCTCTCTCTCTCTCTCTCTCTCTCTCTCTCTCTCTCTCTTCTCTCTCTCTCTCTCTCTCTCACCCACCCGTACCCTCTTTATCTATTTATCTATCCCATTATGCGTTGACACATAAAACAACAAAAAAGATCCAAGATACACACACACACACACACACACACACACACACACACACACACAACCACACACACACACACACACACACAACACACACACACACACACACACACAACAACACACACACACACAACAAAACACACACAAAAAAGAAAGAAATGACTAGCCAAGGATATAGATAAAATAAAGGGTTAGGTTTCGACAGATAATCGATAGGTATATAGTGTTTGAGCCGGTCCTCCGAGCAGGATAAAAGTGTTATAGGAGGGAACTAGGGTGCCTTACGGGTAGAAAGGGGAGAAGAGAAGAGGGAGGAGAAGGAGAGGGAGAGGAAGGGGGAGAAGGGAGAGGAGGGGGAAAGAGGTAGAAAAGGAGAGGGGGGGAGGATAGGAAGGAGAAGAAGGAGAGGGAGGGGGAAAGAGTTAGAAAAGGGAGAGGGAGAGGGAAGGAAGGAGGAGAAGGAGAGAGGGAAGAGGTGGAAAAGGAGAGGAGGGGGAGGAAGGGGGAGAAGGAAGAGGAAGGGGAAGGAAGGAGGAGAAGGAGAGGGAAGGGGGAGGAAGGAGGAGAAGGAGGAGGGAAAGAGGTGGAAAAGGGAGAGGAGGGGGAGGAAGGATGAACAGGGAGAGGAGGAGAGATGGAAAAAGGGAGGAGACAGGAGGAAGGAAGGAGGAGGGCAAAGGGAATGGGGGAAGATGGAAGAGGAAAGAAAAAGTGGAAGGGGAGGAGATGGGAGGAAGGAAGGAAGAGGGGAAGAGGCAAAGGGAGAGAAAGAGGAAGGAAGGAAGAGGGAAGAGGCAAAGGAGAGAAAGGGGAAGAAAGGAGAGGGGAAGAGGCAAAGGGAGAGAAAGGGAAGGAGAGAATTGAAAAAAAGAGTTGGGAATAAGGAGAGAAGGGTGAAGAAGGAAGAAGGAGGAGGGAGAGGAAGGAAAGAGATTCATGGGAGATTATGAGAGGAAGGCAAGTTAGAGGGGGGGGGGGGAAGGAAAGAGGAATAATATCAAGGAATAAGCGGGATAATGAAGAAAGAGATTGGTAGATGTGGATGGGAGAGGGGAAAAAGAAGAGTAAGAACTGTAAGAATGGACGAAAGGAAGAGGAGACGAACAGAAAATGTATCAAGGGAAAAAGGAATGAAGAGAGAAAAATAAACAAAGAAGAGGAAGAGAGTGGGGAAAACAGAAGAATGGAGAAGAAGAGAAAGAGAAGAAAAGAGAGAAAAAATGAAAAGGAAGAGAAAGTGATAAACAGAAGAACGGAGAAAAGAAGAGAAAAGAGAGAAGGGGAAAGTGATAAACAGAAAAAAAGAGAAAAAAAGAATGCAAATGTAACGAACACTACAAACGACGAAAAGAAGACAGAAGAACATGAATAAGAAAGAGACATCCTTTGCAAACGAAATAAAAAAAAGAGAGAGAAAGAGAGGCAAAGGCTGCCATAGAGAAGAAGGAAAGGGAGAGGGGGAGAGGCGTGAAGAAAGGAAGGAAGTAGATCTTATAGG